TGGCAAAGACACTGGAATGGTTTGCCATTTCCTTCTCCAGATCATTTTACAGATGAGGATACTGAGACAAATAGGGTTAAGTGACTTGCCCAGAGTCACACAGCTAGTAAATGTCTGAGGTCAGATTTGAACTCAGGAAAATCGGTCTTCCTGATTCCAAGCCTGGAGCTCTATCTACTGTGCCACCTAGCTGCCCACGTAAGTATATGTAAAATAAATAGAAAATAATTTGGAAGGGGGATCAGGTAAAACTTCAAGTAGAACGTGACATTCGGGATGAACTTTGAATGAAAATGGGGATTCTGAAATATGGAAGTGAGAAGGGAGAGTATTCCAGGCCTGGGGTACAGCTTGTGCAAAGGCACACATGATTTGGTTTAAGTAATTTACCCTTTCTGGGCCTCAATTTGTTTATCTGTAGATTAGCTTAGATGATTTTTAATGTCCTTTCCAAATCTAAATCCTACACGATTGATAGCAATAGCAGCAACACAGAGAGTAGAAGAGAAACATGGTGATGACAAGCAGGACCAATCTTATAACCAGGCAATAGTTTATATGGCATATCATGCAATGGGTCCCAGATAGAGCATATCCAGGGCTGAACATCATGACACTGGCAATTCCATCATTAAAGATTGATTTTTTTTTGGAGTTTTAAGAGATCCCAAAATGTAAAATTTATTTTAAAATATTATTTTAAATATAAATCCCCCAGGGTTTACAGCTGATAGGGGTGGGTTGGGTGGGGGTGGAGGTACTTCTTTTTTTTAATTAATTAATTAAGTTTGATTTAGCAACAATCACTTCCATATGCTTTTGAGTTTAAAATTTTTCTCTTCCTTCCTCCCCACCACAATCTGATATAGGCTGTACATATACATTCCTATTAAACATATTTACACATTAGTGATGTTGTAAGTTAGTAAGTTAGAATTAGAACCAATAGGAGGAACCACCAGAAAGAGGAAACAAAACTCAACAGAAGAAAAAAAATAGCAAGTGGTATGCTTCGATCTCCATTCAAATTCCACAGTTCTTTCTTTGGATGTGGATAGCATTTTCTATCATGAGGCCTTTGGAGATGTCTTAGATCCTTGTATTGCTGGGAAGGATTAAGTTTATCAATATTAGTCATCGTACAACGTGGCTGTTACTGTGTACGGTGTTCTCCTGGTTCTGCTCACTTCACTCAGCATCAGACCATACAAGTCTTTCCATGTTTTTTCTGAAGTCAACATGTTCATCATTTCTTATAGCACAATAGCATTCCATTACATTCATATACCACAACTTGTTCAGCCATTCCCCAACTGATGGGCATCCTCTCAATTTCCAGTTCTTTGCCATCACAAAAAGAGCTGCTATAAATGTTTTTTGTATATGTGGGTCCTTGTCCCATTTGTATAATCTCTCTGGGATACATAGAAGTGCTATTGCTGGGTCAAAGGTTATGCACATTTTTATAGCCCTTTGGACATAGCTCCAAATTGCTCTCCAAAATGGTTGGATCATTGCACAACTAGTGGAGGTATGTCTTAACAATTCTTACTGCCACCAAAGGCATGGACTACGTCATGGGGAAGTAACTGAAAGTGCTCCAAGAAGAGAACAGATGACCATTTATCAAGGATGTTATAAAGGACATTACTGTATTGGGTAGAGCTTCTCGTTAGATTAGTTTGAAAAACTAAATCATATCTAGGTCTTATGGAAATAAGATACAGGGCAAGCAGAGTGTGAAGTGGAAGAGAGACCTCAGAAGGAGGCGGGGCAACAAGAGGCTGAGGGGGTGAAGAAAAGGGAAGTGGGAAGGCTTAAAAGTAAACTTGACTTATCCCACTATTTTACCAGAGGTTATCCATGGAGGCATCTTCTTCTCCACCCTGACCCTTATTTGTGTGGCACAAGAGCCCTAGAAGGTAACAAGACTGCCTATCCCACCCCAAAAGTACTGCACTCAAGACAGTCTCTATCTGTGCAGAGGTGGGCAGTCACAGGAGAGTCCAGGAAAGAACACTCAGAGATTCACAGTCTGTAGTACAAAGAATACGGTGTTAGAAATCAAGAGATATAGGATTTAGTCCCAACTCTGTCCCTAACTAACTGCACAACTTCAGGCAGATCATTTTGGTTTTTCTGAGACTCAGTTTCTTCAGTTGAAAAATAAGGGTTTAAGACTCTATGATCTCTCTGAGTCTCTGGGAGTCTTATGTATGTGGGAGATCTATAGATGGCTAGCTAAGAACTCCAAGCCATGAAACTAATCATGTGCTGAGTACACCAGAGAAGGCCCCTATTCTAGCAAAGGCACAGGTCAAAGAGCTGTTCACATTCCCAGAAGAGATCTCTCCCAGGACCAGAAAATGTACCAACATTTTACATACTGGTCACTGACCACAGTCCGACCTCCTGAAGAGGCAGCAAGGGGGAGGGGAGGGACTCTGGCAGTCAGGTATGAGTGTGCAGCCTGTTGTGTGTGTTGGTTTACAACAAAGACTATTACTTAATTGGCACAAATGCAACAATTTTATAAATAGCCATGAAGACGCAGGGTTTTTATGATTAGCTTGTTTTCAGTCACTGTGCTTGACCGTTGCCTGTATTCAACTAAGTAAATATTTCTATGGTGATAATATACACAGTGCAATGGCCATTATTTAATGTTAATACAAGTACCATATGGGACATCTTATCATGCAAGAGCCTGGGGCATAATAAAAACAGATAGAAATAGATAGGCATGGCAGGCCTTGTTTTACAGAAGGCCTGATAAAACATCTGTCTCCAACACTGGCTTTGGGAGTGTTTATAGATCAATGACTCTCTTGGGGGATCTTTGGGACCAGATCAGAGAGATAGGGGTTAAGTTTCTTCCTTTTGCTTGCCTGGTGACCTTGGGTAAGTCTCTAGGTGAATGGTTTAAACACACATGCCTCAATTTCCCAATCCTTCATCTCTCCAGGGAATGTCAAAGATTAATTAACACCTGGTAAACTCTTTGGGATACAAACTTAGGCCAAAGAGAGGAGGACAAGGAAGGTTCTAAAAACATGCCTCATTATTGAGACCTTTCAATGAGTATTTGCTTCCTGATTTAGGAGGAGGAAGGGGTCAAGGAGATTTATCTACTGGTCAGAACTACCTTTCATGTCTGGCAAAATCTCTTTCAACTTAGGGAAGAAGTCTCAGGAACAATTAGTTAGACTGCTGTCACAGAAAATATAAATGCTTTCAAGCTAGGTGAGCTGAGTTCAAATTCTATCTCTGGCACTAGTCCCTTCTGTGACCTTGTGTGGTCATTTCCCCTTTATGGGCCTCATAAAATAAAGGTGATTGGACAAAATGTTATCACTGACTTTCAAGTTCTTCATCTGAAAAATGAAGATGTTCTACTCAATGATAGAAAAGATACTTTCTAAGGAGGCATAAAAGAGAATAAAATGGAAATTCTCATCTATTTGCTTTGGGTCAGGGCTGGGGAACCTGCAGCCTTGAGGCCACAGGTGACCCTCTAGGTCCTCAAGTACGGCCCTTTGAATCCAAAGAAGGTCCATACTTGGGGACCTAGAGGGCTACCTGTGGTCCTGAGGCCACAGGTTCCCCAATCCTGCTTTAGTGTAATGAAAGAGTAGGATTTTTTAAAGGTATGGTAAATAAAAGAGGTTTTATCTTTTCCCTGAAGTGCTAAAGACATAAATCCTATAATTTGACTTGTTTTGTAACCTAAAAATAATGCTTCCTATGTGCATAGACAATGCCCGGCTCACAAGTGGTTAAGGTTCCAGATACTCACATCCAAATCAGTTGTTTGCAACTCAGAGAGGATTTTCCAATAAAAATCATATTAAACACTGTTGCTCAGTTCTCAGATCAGACCACAGAAACCTACTTAACTTATAATATGCCACAAGGATTCTACTGTCTTAATAACACCAGAAGAACTAACCACAATATTTAACCGTGGTTTTTGTTTTTGTTTTTGTTTTTAAGGAAAGCTGTGTTCAGAATTCCTATCTGAGACATCAGCAACATGTCTCTAATTCACTTCTCCCAGTCCCTGCCCCATTTGCCATCAGTGAGCCCAGCATCCCCCCCTCCACTCATTTCCACCACCTGTTGGGCATGAGGAACAGAGAGATTCCCCCAATTCTAAGCCACTGATAGCTAGGATAGCCCAGGGCAAGGGCTTTAGCAAACTGAAGTTAGGAGGTGGAGGACAGAAAGGAGCCATGGGGGTAAGAGGCAGCTCCTAGAGGTAAATAATGAGCAGTGTGGAACTAGAGCTTTCTTTTACTTCCAGATATTCTTAACCTGGGTCCTGTGAGCTCCATTTTTTTTTTACAACAGCATTTAAATATAATGTTTCCTTTGTAATCCTATGTATTTTATTTTATGTATTACAAACATTATACTGAGAAAGGGTTCTGTAGCTTCACCAGACTGCCAAATTGGTCCATGAAATAAATAACAAAAAAGGACCCTTAGGGAAACATCTCAGTCCTGGCTGAATTCCTAATAACATACTTTTTTTTCTCCCACAGGTCCCTGGGAATGGTTTTCCAGCTTCCTTTTTGGAGACTTTATAGGATTTAAGTATAGAAGAATATTAAAACCATACATTTCAAGTGGGAAGGGATCTTAGAAATCATCCATTTTCCACTGCCACCACCTATTGCTTTTTCTTAGGCAGCTAGGGGGTGCAGTGCATCAAGTGCTGGCCCTGGAGTCAAGATTCATCTTCCCGAGTTCAAATCTGGCCTCAGATTTTACTAGCTGTATGACCCTGGGCAAGTTGCTTAACCTTGTTTGCCTCAGTTTCCTCATCTATAAAATGAGAAGAAAACGGCAAACCACTCCAATATCTTTGCCAAGAAAACCCCAAATGGAGTCATAAACAGTTAGATACGATTGAACAACTAAGATTTTTCTCAAATGCTACGTTGCTGAAGAATAGAACCCAATCTGACGTATTGGAGATATTTATAAAGTTTGTTTTAATTGACAGTTATAAAGGTAAAACAAGATTTTAAAAGGTTGCTTCCTTTGTACTGCCCATCCCACATCAGTAGCACCTCTTTCCTTTCTTCATTTATTCCCTGTAAAGGAAGACAAAGTCACACATGAGTTCTAACAAGCTTCACTATAGCAATACCTGAGTAAGATTCACCTACAGTTGAGGAAACCCAGACTCAGTCTATCTCAGTTATTTAATCAGAGAAACTAGACTGGGTAGGGGCAGAGACTTTAATTTAAAGAGCAAGATAAGACCTCTGGAAGAGGTGAGATGGGAAGATGGTAATAGGGCTGTAGAAGATGAGGAAGAGACCAACATTAGGGCTGGGGAGGCTAGTTACAGAAGTGGAAGCTGAGGGAAGGCAAAACCTTGGGGCTTACCTATGGGAGGACACTTAAAATCAGCAGTCTTTATCAAGAATAATGAAGGGAGGAAGTGGAGAAAGATCTTCAACTAAAGGGCCTTCAGAAAACTTGGAGGGCAATGCAAAGTGCTTCTAAGTCTAAGCTGTAAAATAAATGTTTCCACAAATCAAGACAATGTCTTATTTATCTTAGTACCCTGGAGCTACCTTAGTACCAAACTTTATTGCTGTTTAATATTTTCGGTCATGTCTAACTCTTTGTGAGACCCCACTTGCAGTTTTCTTGGCCAACATACTGGAGCAGTTTGCCATTTCCTTCTCCAGATCATTTTACACATGAGGAAACTGAGAAAAACAGGGTTAAGTGGCTTGCCCAGAGTCACAGAGTATCTGCGGTTAGATTTGAACCCATGAAGGTGAGTCTTCCTGACTCCAGGACGGCACTGCACCACCTAGCTGTCCTAGTACCAAACTATTGAAGCCTATTTTCCAGACCTGACTTCTCTCTAGTCCTTGGTGTGTTTGTGGTCTTTGGGTCTTCTCTTCGCTACCACACATTAACCTATTCATGGCTTTTGGGTTTCTCAATCTGTCTCTCAGATTTTTTGTGTTGCCTTATTCCCACTAAGCTTCTTACTTACTTGTACAGAAATTCCTCAGGTGCAATCCTCGACCCTGGCCAATCACCGACAATACCACCCTATACCCACCTTCCCCCTTGGATTAAGATGAGAAGTATGTACTGAATGGAGAATAAGAGACTACCCTATGTAATTATAGCCAGCAAAGTTGGGAAGAAGTATGGTATATAGGACACATGCTGACTCTGGCTTCAAAGGACCTGGCTTCAAATTCTGCCTGTGATGCTTACTCTCTGTGTGGCCTTGGGCAAGTCCTTTGATCTCTGTAGGCTTCAGTTTCCTCAACTATAAAATGAGTAGGGGGATAGATGGCCTCCAAGGTCCTTTCCAGCTTTAGATCATGATCCTATAATAGGGAATAAGAGGTGGAAATCACAAGTGGTGGTAACAGAAAAAGGAGGAGAGTATCCTTCCCCTTTAAGAGACGCATTTAAGTGTCCAGGAATTGGGAACTGCTTATATAGATTTGGATGTGTTTCAAAGAATTTTCACATATTATCCAACTTCACTCACCCCACAAGCCTCTAGGCTAGGTAGGCAATGCCCCTCTGTGAGACTTAATTTTCTCATCTGTACATTCTTTGAAATAAGTCAGTAGAGTCTACTCTGACAAGTGACTTGGGAAAACAAACTAATCCAGGGCAGAAGAAGCAAGGCTGGCAGGCAGTCAGACCTGCTCTGCCATGTGTTGGTTGTATGGACTATTTGTGCTCTACCTGTGCTTCCTCTGTACTGCCCATCCCCCATCAATTCCACCTCTTTTCTCTCTTCCTTCAGTCCCTGCAACGTAAGACAAAGTCACATACCAGTTCTAACAAACTTCACTACAGTGAGCCTTCCAAGCTCACATTGGTCTGATCAACCATAATCGACACATTGATCTGATCTAGTGATGTCATAATGACCTAGTGATATCATAGGGGTGGCTGAGTGACATGGCGATGTCATTTTGGTCCTTTTCAATTACAAAGAACAACAACCAGGTGTCTTTCAGAGGCAGATAATCAAAAATACAACAGGTTTGGGATAATGCCATAATGTTGATCTTTCCCAACACTGTGCATCTCAGCGGGCAGTAGGGATAGTTCCTACCAGAACTGATTCACTCTGATTCCTATCAGAGATTTAAGGCACTTCTCTGAGACAGATGAGACAATGGACAGAAGAACTGAGTTCAAATGCTGCTTCAGACACTTACATAGCTGTGGGATCCTGGACAAGTCACTTAAACTCTCTCAACCTCAGTTTCCTCATCTGTAAAATAGGGATAATAACATATTATCATAGGTTAGCCAAGACGACCAAATGAGATTACATACATAAAGTACTTCGCAACCCTTAAAGCACTATATAAATACTAGCAATTATTATTATTACTGTTGTTATTATGATAAAACCTAGTAACTGAGGATAATAGTTCTCAACTGGTGTTCCCTTGGAGATAAAATAGAATCTCAAGCAATGGAATTCATCAAATTGTTTATCTATGGTCTGCTCAATCTGAGAACAGTATGTTCTTAAACAATTATTCCATGGTAACCCAGAGACACAAACCAGCGAGCATATGCAGAGTCTATTTCCATATCTATGCGTCACCTATATAGCTACACCTGGAAGAGGCGTTGTGGCACAGTGGATGAGGATCATCGGATCTGTAAACAGAGGGCCTGGGTTCAAATTCTGACTCTCACACTTGTGTCCTGTGTGATCTAGGGCAAATTGTTTCATCTATTTGGGCCTCAGTTTCCTTCAGTTTAAAATGAGGACATTAGACTAGGTGACTTATAAAATCTCTTTTACCTCTATATCAATTATTTTTTCCATAGGTTCCTCTCTAGGAAGAGTAGATCTTAAGGAGGTAAGCTGGAAGAGTGAACAGAGCCCACACTGGAGTCAGAGGACCTGGGTTCAAATCCTGGTTTTTCCCTTTAATGTGTGGATAGCTTTAGGGGGAAAAAAATTAAAATTTCCTTGGGTTTCAGTTTCCTTGTCTCTAAAATGAGGTAATTGAACTAGATGACCCTAAGGTTCTTTCTAGCTCTAGAACTATGATCTTATTACTCATGTAATAACTGAATTTTATAAAGCTCTTTAAAGTTAACAAAATATACATAGACATGTTTGTACTGAGCAAACCTTAAAAAAACCACATATATGTGCGATATATGTGTATATATATATATATGTATATATGCACATGCAAATGTATGTATACTTATAAATAACCCCTTATGGTTTGCAAAATATATGTGCTTATGTCTCTCTATATAAATATTTGACTATATTTATATATACATATATATGTACTTCATAAACCTTAAAGTTTTAACATATTATATATATATATATATATATATATATGCATAGATAGGTATTTATGTAATCTCTTAAAGTTGTGTGGTATACATACATATACATATATGTATGTGTAATTGGTTTACATTAAACACATTTATATGTATATGCATACACATGTGTATATACAGGCACATGTATGCATGTATAAGTGCATGTGTGTATGTTGGCTTTTGATCTTTATTACAACCTTGTGATATGTGCGGTCCTTCTACTATCTGACATTTATATAGCATGGTGTTTTACAGACATTATCATAAGGCATAGGTTTTATTAAGAGACATCTAGGTGGTATAGTTGATGGAGTACTGCTCTGGTGGTCAGGGAGGCCTGAGTTCAAGCCCTACCTCAGATATTTGCTAGCTGCCTGGACCCAGGCCCCGTCACCTAACCTCTGTGATATGTGTGAACTTGGCAAGTCACTTAATCTTTTCCATTTTCAGTTTACTTTTCTACAAAATGGAGATAATAATAGCACCTACCTCATAAGGTTGTTGTGAAGATCATATGAGATAATACGTACATACATATATAATCATATACATATAATATACATATATGTGACATGTGTGTATATAAGTGCATTGGTGTATATATTACAAATTAAGGAAGTTTTCTAGGGACTATGTTCTTAAAGATAATGGGACTTAAAAGTGATTAGAAAGGTAGTTTTATGTGTAATAATCCACTGACAAGGCCAGTTCAATGCCCTAGCCCCGGGCTTTGACGCCTCTCCTTGTATCCTGGCATCAAAATTGCTCAATCTGTGCCAAGAGAGCAAGTTAGCACAGGCCAGAAGGAAAAGGTTAATGTGAGTGTGCTCTAGGGAGGGTGTGTGAGTGTGTGTATGTGTGTGTGTGTGTGTTCATGTTTGTGGCATGTTTATGTATTCCCCAAAAGGAGGAAATAGCAATGAGTAGAATTAACGTAACTAGCTGACTAACCCAGGAGCTAGTCTGCTGCTCATTTCTCGTATGCTCTGATGACTTCACTGAGTTGCCACGCATGTTTCTGATTATTCTGTGGATTTGTTTTGCACTGATGGGTGGGAAAAGGCTGGTGAAGCAATAATCGTATAAGTGAAAGCAATGTCTCTCGTATGCCCTCTCCAAAATTTCCCACAGTCTTTGCTAATGCCCTGGAGTCTGTCAGGGTTTAGGATTACAGAATTTAGTAAATGTTCTTAAGCACATAGGCACATACTCACCCAGACGACAGAGAAGTGACATGAAGGCTATTGCGATACAACCCCATGTTGAGCCAGGAATCCTGACCAAAGATGTTCTATGTTCTAGCACACATGGCTACAGAGAGCCGCAGGGAGGAAGCAGAGGCAGCTAAGAGTGGGAGCCTTGGAAATCATCACTATAATATGACATGGTACTTGCATATAGTAAAAGTATTCATGTCAATCAATCAGCAAACGTTAATTAAGCTTTGTTATGCACTCAGTTCTAGAGATACAAAAAAAAGCAAAAATAGTCCCCGCCCTCAACAAACTAAAATTCTGATATATTCAGTTATTTTCAGTCATTGTTTGACTGTTTAAGTGGTCAGGGCCATCTGCATCAAATTATTCTTAGCACAATGTTTGTTTGTATTTCTGATTTGTTCCAGTTTATCTTGCCTTCTTGTGGTACAAAACATGGAGTCCCACTCATTCATCTGTCTCCTATGTCAAGATAATAGTTCTGTTATTGTTGTTCAGTCACTCAGTCATATCTGACTCTTCATGACCATGGACCATAGCATACCAGGCCCTTCTATCCTCTACTAGTCTGTCCAAGTTCATGTTCATTGTTTCCATGATACTATCTATCCATCTTATCCTCTGCCATCCCCTTTACCTGTTGCCTTCAAACTTTCCCAACATCAGGGGCTTTTCCAATGAGTCCCATCTTCTCATTATGTGGCCAAAGTATTTAGGCTTCAACTTCAGTGTCTGCCTTCCAGTGAATAGCCTGAATTTTTCTTTAAGTATTGACTAATTTGATCTCCTTGCTATCCAAGGGACTCTCAAAAGTCTTCTCCAGCGTCACGATTCGAAAATGTCAATGCTATAGTGTTTGGCTTTCCTTATAGTACAACTCTCACAGCCATACATTGCTACTGGAAAAACCATAGTTTATCAGCAAGGTGATGTCTCTGCTTTTTAGTATGCTATCCAGATTTGCTATCGCTTTCCTTCCAAGGAGTGTCTATGAATTTCATGGCTGCAGTTGCCACTTGAGCCCGAGAATATAAAATCTGATGCTGCTTCCATTTCTTCTCTCCCTATTTGCCAGAAAGTAATGAGATGAGATGCCAAGATCATAGGTTGTTTTGTTTGTTTGTTTGTTTTATGTTAAGCATCAAGCCATCCTTTACACTCTCCTCTTTCACCCTCATCAAGAGGTCTCTTAATTCCTATTCACTTTCTGCCATCGGAATGGTATCATCTACATATCTGAGATCATTGATATTTCTCCTGGAAACCTTAATTCCAGCTTTTCATTCATGCAACCTGGCATTTTGTGTGTGCTGTACTCTGCATATAAGTTAAATAAATAGGGTGACAATACACTGCTTTGTTATACTCCTTTTCCAATTTTAAACCAATCAGTTGTTTCATATCTGGCTCTAACTGTTGCTTCTTAGGCTACATACAAGTTCTTCAGGAGACAAGATGATCTGGCACTCCTACCTCTTTGAGGACTTGACACATTTTGCTGTGATTCCATCAAAAGCTTTAGTGTAGTCAATCAGGCAGAAGCAGATTTTTTTTCCTGCAATTCCCTTATTTTCTCCATAATCTATTGAATGTCAACAATTTGGTCTCTAGTTTTTCTGCCTTTTTAAAAGCCAGCCTGCTCTTCTAGTAATTCTCAGTTCACATATTGCTGAAGTCTAGATTGCAGAATTTTAAACATAACTTTGCTAGCATCAAAAATGAGCTCATTTGTTCAGTAATTTGAACATTCCTTATCATTACTCTTCCTTGGGACTGTGGCCACTGTTGAGTTTTCCAAATTTGCTGGCATATTGAGTGTAGCACTTATACTGCATCATCTTTTAGGATTTTGAATGGTTCAGCTGGAATTCCTTCACCTCCACTAGCTTTATTGTTAGCAGTGCTTCCTAAGGCCCACTTGACTTCATTCTCTAGCATGTCTGGCTCTAGACCAGTAACCACACCATTGTGATTATTGGTGATGTTAATATTTTTCTTGTATAGTTCTTTCGTAAAGATAATAGTACCCTTTCTCTATATATATTTTTTTTTATTCTTGGAAATGGTTGCATCACCCTGACCAGTCACTGGTATTTACAGAGGACAATTTTCCAGTGTTCTAAGGTCTCTGAAAGACTTTCACAACTGCAATAGAGTTTTAAAGGTTCACAAAGTCAATTTTGTACTTTACTTTAATTGGCATTCTCCATTGTATGCCGACACTAAATCATTACAAAATTCAAAACAGTGATAGATGAGAGATCCATATTGCTTTCTGTCAATGGTGCATTTAGCAAAAATTTATACAACAATGTATTTCCAACCAGTGCAAAACAATGTAGGTAATAATGTCATCCTTCAGTCTAGATTAGATGAAATAAGAAATAAAAATAAGAAATGAATCAAATTTCAATGAGATAAAAGTTGATAAAGAGACTAAAGCCATTGAAAAACAATGTAACCTCCAGAAAACCTACCTAAAATGATATGGAAGATAAAAACAATGCTGTCTCAAATGATTTTGAAATGGAGATGGGCATACTTTTACTGGCATTTTGAAAAGTTCTTGGTTTGGTTTTTTTATTTATTTTTTTGTTTTGGTTTGATGACAGGAATCCAAATAGAATACCAACTATATCAAAGCAGAGGAAATAATATTAAAAGCTGGCATTTGCTATAACCATAATAAACAAATTCATTCTTCCACAGTGTGGAACAAAATGTAAAAACATTTCAGGACATTCACACAACAGTACATATGGCAGCCACTGCCATGGTAAGAACTACAGAAGGAAAAGTAGAAACAGTTATCAAGGATGCCCCCAATTTGTGAATAGAAGACACTCAGAACAAAAAGTAGACATATAGATCAATAGTTACTGATACGTTCTTTGATGTTCTTTCAGTATTAATAAAGTCTAGGATTTTTTTCCAGGCCATTGATTTTTCCCTTCTTCAGACACTTCACCTCCATGGCAACTGTTTTTTACTTCCAACACTGATCTTTTCTATATACAATTTTTCCAATATAGTTGCTTTCCCCGGTTTTTGTTCCCATTAGTGCAATTTCAGGCTCTTCTGTCCAGAACTATGAGGTAAGGATCAAAAAAGTGGTAATTCTAATGTCCTTAATGGAGAAGCCACTTTATAATAATTATTTTCATGAATACTTTTTTTTTTCCTTTTGTGGTCCTCCTTCCATTTCTGGACAACAGAAATGACATTGACAGCAACTATAATAATTCTCTTCAGAAGTTTAACCAATGAAAATTAATTGCTAAAGTAAGGAGACCAAATAGGTCATAAAGAGCCTTAGTCAGCAAACATCTGACTTACTTGCCAAATGAAAAGAAATGACTGCCAAAGACAACACTGACATAGAATATAAATTCACTTCTAAAATCTTACAAAGGATGATGGATGATTATAAGCAGTATCATCTCATCACCAAAGAGAAGCAATGAAGGATAAAACCAAAAGAATGGTTGGCATGACATCCAATCGAGCCAAGTCATCACAAGGGTATTTAAGGATAAAATTGTCTTGTTCATGTGCTGCAAACTCACAAAACAAATGCAAGTGTAGTGAGAATGCAAACATTTGATATACACATATAAAACCAGTCTTTATTTAAAACATACCACAAACAGAACGAGGTCGAGAAATAATCAAATAAAGCATAATATCTTTCAGGAAAATAGTTTAATCCACTTATAATTCTGTCTAGCTTTAAACTTATTATATTCTCTGACATATAGAACTAAGTATGGCTTCCAAGTTAAAGAAGAACTCATAGCAAATCATCTTAGTAATCACTTAATGTATATGGATAACAAGTTATATGACTCCATTGAAAAAGAAATCATTTCATCCTGTCCCCATTTTATGGAATCTTTCTCTAATGGTAACAAAATGTGAATTGGAAAGTGTAAAACTTTAATGAATACTAGGAAAGATTGAAACTGAAGGTTTAGAGTTTTGATATGGAGATTTTTAACTAATGGACAATGGAAATACTTTGGTCTCCTCTAGACATATTAAGCATAAAGTTATTAAGAAGAAAGCTATGATTAAATATGTTATGAAGCTTCTTGGCATTCTGAAATAAAAGTTAAACAGGAAGTACATTTTAAAGCAACTAATACCCATGCAATACCAGTCTTAACACATGTTTTTTTGGAACTATAAAGTGGTCTGTAACAAATTTGGAAAATATCCTAACAAAAACTTGTACAATATTAATGAAAATCCAAGGATTATTACCAGAGCGGTGGAAACACTAACACTTCATTATCAAAAAATGGAAGAAAAGGATTTATAAATGTTCTCAAAGCACATGCATGATAAACAAATAAAAAAGACTTTTGAAACAAGCAGATATCATTTGAGCTATAGTAAAGGATGCTGATAAGTACATGCTGCTGGATTTTTTAAATACAACTGAAAATATTTTAACTCTAGATAGCATCTAAGAAACATCCAAGAGTCAACCAACAGATCCACAATAGCTGGCATCCATGTGAACTCAGCCAGCAACATGCTGGCAAAGAAGCATTGGAAAAAATCGAGCCACACAGATTTGTTTATAGCCAACACACTTCTCCTTTCTCACCCTACTAGACTCATTTTGGACTTATTTGACTTCTCCATCATGCCCCCATAACAGGCACCTCCCCCTCCCATTCATCTTTCTTTAGTGTATTGTCTTTCCCAATTAAATTGTAAACTCCTTGAGGACAGGGGCTGTCTTTCTTTTCTATATTTATATCCCCATCGCTTAGCACAGTTCCTGGCACATAGTAGGCACTTAATAAATGTTTATTGTCTATTGACTTCTTGATGGCAGAATGTTAGCAATATGGGCTATACTGGCAAGAAATGGCTTATAGGGAGACATTTAGAGAATATCATCAGAAGAGGAGGAGAGTTAGAAGGATCCATGCACCATTGTCAGAAAAGCATCCTAATTTCCAGCATCTCTGTCTAATTAATTATCTAGTTAATCCTTGATAACTTTTCCTTACATGATAACAGCACCTCTTTCCTGTGTACTGTCAATGGAACATGAAAGCAAGATAAAAAGTTTCTTATGGCTTCACTCTTGCAACATAAGTCGAAGATATGTGGCCAAAGCACAGTAGCCTTAGGGATCACCATTGCTTACCCAAAAGTATATATTAGTATTTCCAGGTTCCTCATCTTCTGCTTGAATAATACAGATAATTGCCTCGGTCCCATACAGTGCTTTGTCAAATCTGCTGCTTCCATACTTGCTCCTAAATTAAGCAAGGGTGCTTAATTTGCAACTGAAATATTATTTTAATGTTACTAGAATAAATGCTACAATAAAGTTGTTTTTGTCCTAGTAATATACTTCATGTAACATACATACCAAAATATGTCATATGTTTTATGCATATTATACTCTATCCATTCTACATTCCATGTATACAGTATTCAATGCATCCTATTCTCCATATATCCTATAATCCTATAATGGAGTCTATAATCCATGCATTGTAAACTCCACATATCTTATAGTCTACAAATCCTGTGCTTCGTAAATCCTCCGTTTCATGTATCCTAATGCTGTATATCATATACTCCAAAAACACAGGCTCATAAGATTTTAGGGTTGAAGTCAATCTGAGATGATTTAATATTATTTCATTCACAGCACATCTAACCATCTACCTCAGACATTTATTAGCCATCAGCCCTGCCACTGATCCTTGCATACCACTGGACCTCCTGAGATCACTCTGTGAATGATTTAATCCACTTAGCTTTGTACCTATAGCCATGGGTCCCTGCTGTGTTGATTGGTGAGTCAGTCAGTCAAAAGCACATGCTTCAGAACACTTTCTACCAACTGCTCTGGCCACTCCCTTGCTGTCTACCCTGACACAGAACACATATACCTCCCTGTTGCACTTTTTGCCCTAAGAACCATAATGGAATCAATTTATTGCTTCTGGAAAGGGCTGTTGTCAATTGTTTCCCTTATAAATAGATTCATCATCCCTGTGACATCCTAAATGAAAACATCCTTCCTTGGCCACCATTTCTCTAAATGTACTGTCTTCTCTTCCTAGAATATAAACTCCCTGAGGGCAAGAAATGTCAGTTTTTATATTTATATTATCCATGCTTGTCACAATGGTTGGCACACAATAAATGCTTAACAAATGATTTTCATTCATTCATCTCATTTTAAGGTTGGAAAACAGATCCATGGAAATGGTATGTAAAGTCATACAGGCTTTTTGATTCCAAATCTGGAGCTCTATCTGATACACCTACCTACTTCTATGAATTTTATAACCTACATATCCTATATCCCACACATCCTATACTCTGTATAGCCTATACTCTGAATCTTATTTTCCATTTGCCTTTTGGCTATAAATACTCTAGTCTATGTATCCTACACTGATACTACACATATAGCTAATACTTCACACATGTTATTCCCCATGCCCCTTTTTTTCCATATATCCAGTACTACATTTATTCTGTGCTCCATTTTTCCTACATTCCATACATGCAGTTTACCAACATATAATACTTCCTTTCCCGACTGTACCGACCTTTTAAGTGGTTAGCTATGTGGCCAACTGCGTCATTCAAGCTATTTCTGCTGCTGCTGCTATTAATTATTAGCTGAGTAAACTATCTCTTGCAATAAGCATTTCTGCAACTCATTTTATTTTCAAGGCACATTAAAGTCATTAACCAGTTTTCACAAAGTGCCTCCATGGCACAGAGTCCTGACTCCTCAAACTCCCATAGCAATAAGGCATGGCCATGTGTACCTAACATGGAATATTTAGCACCCACTGATTTCCAGTAAAGTGTCAATATTGTTTGCTTTTGTAATAGAATTGGAAGCATTTTTAAAAAGGAAAACCTTTACTGCTTGGTTTAGTGGAAAGGTTGCTAGACTTAAGAGTCAGCAAAAGCCTGGGTTTGGATCCTGCCTTTAGCTCATGCTATGAGACTGTGGGCAAATTACCTGATTTCTCTGAGCTTCAATTTCTTCATCTATAAAATGGGGATATCGTTTAACGGATACTAATGAAGGTACCTATCTTACAGTGTTGTTATGAGGATAAAGTAAAATACTATATATGTATACTCTGTAACTCTTAAAGCACTATAAAAATGTCAGTTATTAGAGTCAGATAGCTGGTACAGTGGACAAAGTGCTGGTCCTGGACTTAGGAAGACCTGAGTTCAAATCCTGCCTCAGACACTTACTAGCTGTGTGACCCTGAGCTAGCCACTTAACTTCTTCCTCAGTTTCCTCAATTGTAAAACTAGGATAATAGCAGCACCTACCTTGAAGAGTCATTGTGAAGATCAAATAAGATAATATTAATAAAGTACTTAGCACAGTGATTGGCCTCATTGTAGGAACTATATTCCTTTCCCTCTCTCCATCTTCATTCGAACATAGGCTATCAGATGACAAGGACTTTGAGTGTTTTTATTCTGTAATTATAAGTAGAATGATAACACAGCCCAGTGATTGATTAATAAGTCCAACTATGTCTATGTTGCGTTGTATGTTGAAGTGGAGACCTAGTAACTCTGTGTTGGCTCTGACCATCTAGATGACAGTCAAAGTAAATAAATCTGGCCAAAGACATCAGAGAATATCATCAAATTTCTGATCCTGTGGCCACACAAACACAGTTTCATCTTATTTTCCAGATGAAGAAAAATTAGGGCATAAGAAAAGGAAGATTCTTAATGAAATCTTTCCAGAGGCTAGAGGTAAAACCAAAGTAAATTTTGTAATTTACAACATTTGATCAAAAACTTTAAAATGACTGGAAGCTACCTCCAATGAGAATGTGCCTCTCTTTGCCTTGTAGTGTCATCTCAGCTGCTAATATGGCAGTCACAGAAATAATGTACTCCAGCTGTTTGGAAGAGATGTTGCTGAGAAAGGTGGTTACCTTGTCTTTCTTTAAGGATGACTTTCTGTGGGAAAACAAGGTAGACTCCCTCTTGTTCTGCCTGGTTCTTATCTGTGAAGATTGAGTATCTTCTCCTTTTCTCCCCCCTCCAAAAAAAAAAACTCTGAGGACCAGGCAGGGCTTAGAATGTGCAGAGTACAGATGTATCCCCAATATCTGGATGGAGATAAAGCCATTATGTCAATTCAGTAGTTGACTTTCAAACAGAGAGCATAGAACTTTCCTGAAATGCAAGGAACAACTTTAGGTGGACTTCAGAATAGGTTCTTTGTACACATGGAGAAACATATATAGACTAAGGCTTTGCTCCACTCTGTGTCTGGGATTTTAAGATGACACATTTCTCTTCTCTCTTATCTTCTTTTCAATTCAATTCAACAAACATAATTAAGCAACTATAGCATAGTACAGGGCTACATCTGGAATCAAAAGACCTAAATCTGAATCCTGGATCTGCTATGTTCCAACTGCGGGATGTTGAACAAAGTTACTTAACATCCCAATGTCTCAGCCCCTCATCTCTAACCTGAAGGAATTGTCCTAGATGGCCCCTGAGGACCCTTCTACATCTAAATATATGATTTCACCATGATGGGGATTCAGAGCTGAAAGGGAAACAGTCATTGCCCTCAGGGAGCTTATGTTCTCTTTTCTGGGGCCTGCTCTCCTGATTGGTGCCTGTAGAGGTAGGCTCACCATTTCACAAGGGGCCTCAGCAATACTCACTTCACCACCAGCTCAGTTCACTGTTAGACTTCACCTCCTTACCCCCATCTCTGCCTTCCTCAAGATGCCTCTACCTCGGGGCCTGCTCTCCTGACTGGTGGGCTCTGTGGCCTATTTTTGTGAGCTATCTACACATGCTCACTTCTCTCTAAGATCATTTCACTCTGGATTTTTCTACCTCCTCAACAGAAGCCTTGCTCCTCACCTCACCCCCTCTTCTAATTATGTTTTGTTTACCCTTTTAGAATATAAACTCCTTGAGAGCCGGTACCATTTTATTTTCTTGCATTATCTCCAGAGCTTATCATGGTACCTGCCACAAAATAAGGTCTTAATAACTGGTTCATCTCTGTATCTGGGGTACTAATCCCCTTCTTGTCCTATCCTCTGGTCCCAGCACTTAGCACAAGTATGCATTAGGCACACTTAATGAATGCTTATTGATTGGCTAACTCTCATTGCTCACATATTGTCAAACCCCAGCTCTAGATTACTCCCACCATTTGCCTCCTCTGCTCCTCCTTATGTGCTCCTGAACAATACTGGGGGTGTTAGAAAATGTGGTCAATTCAAAAAAACATTTATTAAGTGTTCCTTCAAGATCTGTTTCTATGTGAGATATATTGGAAGCTAATTTATGAAGCACTTTGTGTCCTCAGTAAAGAACTTGAGGGTTTACTATGGTTCAAACACAGGCTCGTGTTCTCTTCCTTAACTCTAGCTTTTATAAGACTTGAACACAATCTGTTATGAGTGTCATTGTTTTTCAGTGCATACTTAAGTAGTCTCCATACCTTGAGTCAGAAAGACTGAGATCTCATGCTAGTGTTTCACTTACATCCCACATCTGGAGCCTAAAAGCCTGGGAACATAGACAGAGTCTTAAGGCTTCCCTGATCAAGCTCCAGACACTTCTCTTGGAGCCAGGAAGGCTGGAGTCTGAGGCAAAGATCTAGTGAAATGCCAGCTAGATTTGGGACACCAGACTGAATGCCAAAAAGATCAGGGCTTTGGACAGTTGGGCTGACACATAGCCAAATGCATGCTTCATCTATGGGATCTCTTCTGAGCATGACTCATTCCCCATCATCTTGGGATATAGACAGGGCTGGTGCCATATGCAAATTCAATACAGTTCATAGGGACCCAGACCTCCAGCCTGAAATTCCTGCCACTGCTGCTTCCAGTTCCCAAGGGAAGGAGAAGTAGCCTTGCATCAATAGCACCCTCCATATCCATAGCACTCTAGGAGGCAGAGGCCCCAACCCAGTGGTACCTCTGACTGAAATTTTTAACTCCTGTTCTTCTAATCCCAGTGATTCAGAATCACCCTCTTGAGAAGCAAAAGCCCCTTTCCACTCCTAACTGACATTACATTCTGTCTCCAATCAGAACAATCCTACAGTTCTTCCATCTCTTTCCTCCTCTGCCCTCCTATTTCAAGTGAAACAATATTTGCAAAGAACTTTGCACAGTGTCAGGCACATAGTAGGTTCTCAAATACTCATGCCCTCTCCTTTACCAATGTCATTTACAAAATTCCTAATTGCTAACTAATTTCTTGTCATCTTCAATTTATTCTTTGAATCTCTTTCTGACTCTTTATACTCACAGAAACCCAGTTTTCTTTAGGAGAATGCACAGTAAGGGCCAATCTCTCTATTGATGGTTTTTCTTTCTCATTCCCCACTACTACTTTCAGACCCACAAGCTATCCACCTCACTCAGCAATCTTACCTCATTTGATGTCCAGTCTAGTTGACTGTTTCATCCTCTCCAAATCCTTCCATTTTGATGTTCCCTCAAATTCTTTCAGATTCTCTATCTTCTCTGTGATCTTCATTCAGTCCCTCTATCCTTCAGCTCTCTTACAGGCCAGCACCCCAATCCAGTTTTACTTTTTTCCCTTTCCAGAGTTGATCTCATAGCTAACCAGTTCAATATTACACCATACTGTGCTCTCAAATCTCTCATCATCTTATCCTGTCATTGCTCACAGTTCCCCAAATCCCAGCCCTGGATTATTTACACCATCTACCTCCTCTGCTTTTACGTATGTGTTACTTAACAGGGCTGGAGGAAGTCATGCATCCATGCTGGCTAAGTACATTACAAATTAGTTATTCGCCTGGATTCTCACTGTAATGAGGTAATAATTTTACAACTCCCAAAGTAATTCTCTATCTCACTCTCCACAACGTTCCAAACTTTCATTTCTCTCTTTGAGTCTACTCCTTTCCCCTTTCCCACTCTCTTAAGAGAAGACCTCATACTGTATGGAGAAAAAACAATGACAAAAACAAACAAACAAAAATTTCCCCTGAATTTTCTCTTTTCTCTAAATCTACTTCTCAAATCCTTTGATGTCATACCCAATTGTCTCCTCACTCTAATATCTGATGAAGATACAGCCCTTCTGCTCACCAAGGCCAACTCTTTTACTTATACTTTTGATCTTATTTTCTTCTGCCTTCTCTAGAAAGTTTCTTTTGCCTTTATCTTCTCCTTTGATCATCTTCAATCTCTCCTTATATACTAGTTCATTCCTTATTGCCTATAAATAACACTGAAAAAGTCCACAATCTCCCACTGTCATCTAGTACCATCTCCAGGCATCCTGATCTATATGTGGCGACTAGACCCAGATGGCTCTGGAGGAGAAAGTGAGGCTGGTAACTTTGCACAGCCATCCCTCACTTAAATCCAATTTACTTGTATGTCATGGCATCACCCCCCCTGATGCCACCATCCTCTTCAAGAATGAAGGACAAACAACAACCTCTGTGAGTAGAAACACAGGAGCTACCCCACTGGGGACCCAACTGGAACTGGCCAGCTGAGCAACATAGCTTCTTCTTTCTTTCTTTCTTTCTTTCTTTCTTTCTTTCTTTCTTTCTTTCTTTCTTTCTTTCTTTCTTTCTTTCTTTCTTTCTTTCTTTCTTTCTTTCTTTCTTTCTTTCTTTCTTTCTTTCTTTCTTTCTTTCTGACTTTCCTTTCCTTCTGTCCACATACGGTATCATACCTCTATCTAAGGGTGCTCTGCTGAAAAGAATGTAAATGTTGATCTCTGAAACCACTTCCCCCCTTAGGGACCATGTCTTAAACCCAAATCACTCTGGCTCTCATTGATTGGCCAACAATAGGTCCCAGGCCAAGCCTCTCTTGAATATTGTTTGGACTCTGATTGGCTTAAAGTGAATGTAAATAGCAATTGCTTCTGTTTTGACGAGAAACCTTGAGGGTCTTCCCCTCCCAGATGGATTTTTTTAACTAGGTAAAGAGGCCATTCTCTGCCTCATTTCTTTCCAACACTTAATCATTGAATGGGCATTGCCTCAGTCCAACTGAGACCTGTTATAGACCTTAGCTTAAAAAGGTAAAGGTCTCCCACTGCATCCTGGGCCATCTCCAGTCCTCCTGATCTATATCTTCACTGGACCCAGATGACTCTGGAGGAGAGAGTGAGGCTGGTAACTTTGCACAGCCCTTCCTCACTTAAATCCAATTCACTTGCATGTCATTGCATCACCTCCTTGATGGCATGATCCTCTTTGAGACTGAAGGACAAAAAAACAAAAAAAGCCCAAGGTCTCCTTTTATGTAAAAAAACCTCACTTGACCTTGCCATCCCATCAGAGTATCATTCTATATCTCTCCCTCCTTTCAAGATCAAACTCATAGATAGATGGAGAAAGTAAGGGAATGAGATGGAGAAAGATAAAGAGAGACAAAAAGAGAGAGAGCATTTATGCATTTATTAAGGTCTTTCCTACTATGTGCCAGGAATTGTGCTAAGTGCTGTAAGTGCTGTGGATACAAAGGCAAAAAGGAGACAGAGAAAAGGCAATGCATAAAATGGAGTTGCAAGGGGGCAGGGAGTGGGCAGAAGAGTATCCACACAGGGGTGAGGTGGAAAAGTCAAGAGCAGGGCCAAGGGAGGAGTGCATATGGATGGCTTGGACACTTCTTCAAATGGAGATTTGGAGAAAGAACTCACCAACTGGAGGAGAGGTTCAATGGGATCTTTCAAGGTAAGAAAGCTGCCGAGGTAGAAATAGGTAAATCCAGATCAAGAAGCAGAGCCAAGAGAGGAGAAAAAAATGGAAAAAAAAACTGTCTATACTAGTATCTCTACTAATTCACCTCTTTCACACTTCTTAAACTCTGGCAGCCAAGTTTCTGATGTCATCACTCAATTCAGACTGCTTTCTCTAAAGACAGCAATGATTTCTTTACTACAAAACCCAATGGTCCTTTCTAATTATTTTTCTTGACCTGTCTATAGCATTCAACACTGTTGACCACTCTCTGCTACTGGGTTTTTATGAAACTTTCTTCTCTTGCTTGTCCGAAAGTTCCTTCTCAGTTTTTTTTTGTTTGCTGTTTAATCTTTATCTTGCCTTCTAACTATGTGTGTACCCCAAAATTTTGTCCTTGGCCCCTCTTCTCTATAATCTCTCTTGATGAGTTCAACAGCTTCATAGGTTCAATTTTCATACTTACACATTTGATTATATAATCTACATATCCAGCTCCATATATCAGTCCTAGTTCAGAACCTTATCACCTATCACCTGGACTACTACAATAACCTCCTAATTAGTCTCCCCACTTTAGTTCTTTACTTCAATTCATCCTTGGTGCAGCTTTCAAAGTGATATACGTTAAACTATGGACCTGACTATGCCACTTCCTCCTCAGTAAACACCAGGGTCTCCCTTTTACCTTTATCCTGTAAGTACAAAGTCCTCTGTCATTTAAAGCCTTTTTGCAACTCATCTACAATCTACATTCCCAGCCTTATTACACACTGCTCCCCTTCAGGCATTTTTTAGTCCAGCCAAATGTATTGTTTATTACTATTCCCCAAACAGGACATTCCATGTGACATTTCCCACCTCTATGCTTTTGCCTAGCTTGGTCCTCATGTCTAGAATGTGTTTCCTCCCTACGTCTATTTCTCAGAATCTTATTTCTCCATAGTTATATCAAGTGTTATCTCCTAGATGATTCCATTCTTTTTTCCTCTATCTGCCTAGTGCCCACCCCCATAAAAGCTATATTTATTTTGTATATGCTTATTTTCTACATAATCATATTATATGGGAACTGATGTTTTCATACATTTCTAACATCTAAAACAGTTCTGAGCACATAGTAGGTGCTTAATAAATGCTTATTGATTGATTGATCTTTTGACTTCCAGGCTCCAAATCAATCTCTCTTTTGTCTTATGTACTCAGTACCTTAGTCACGTCCTCTTATGCTTCAAAACTCACCTACTGGGTGCTCCCTGAATGTGGTATTCCATCTACTGCTTCCCTGTTTTCACATAACCTGGAACCTATGCTCTCAATGGACTCCCTTCTCTTCCTCTTCATCTTTCAGAATTCTTGTCTTCCTTCAAGGCTGTTAAGTGTTAGTGTTCTTACTAAACTCTACTTTCTTTCTGCACTGTAACTCTCTGGGCACATGTTTTATCCACCAGTTAAATGAAAGCTCTTGAAGGCAGGGACTGTTTCATTTCTGCCATTTTATCTCTAGCACCTAGCACAATGCTTTGACCATAGTGGTTGTTCAATACATTTCATGGAATGAATGAGTGTGTGAATGAATGTATGAATGAATCCTATATTTAGAACCGTATGGAAATAGACTCCTGATTTCACCAGCTTCCCTCAAGTTCTACCTTCTACAAGAAACATTTCTTTCTTAATCTTAATACCTTCTTTCTGATATTATCTCCAACTTATCCTGTATATATCTTGTCTGAACACAGTTGTTTGCACGTTTTCTTTCTCCCCTTAGAATATGAGTTTCTTTTGAATATTATTGTTTGTTTGCTTGGTTTTTTTGGGAATAACTTTTCTTTGAATCTTCACAGAGTACTTGCCATATAGTAGGCACTTTAAAATGCTAGTCAAGTGACTGACTAAAATAGAAATTAAGGCATAGTCTTTGTTAAGGATTTTGGACCCTAGAATGGTCTCTGCTTTGAACACTTCTAGCAATCTTCCCAGGTGAGACTCCATCAGAACCGTGAAAATTTGGTCAAGAGAGCTTCAAATTTTGCCTATCTCCCTATGTCCACAGACAGGTCCATTTACCTCTCTAAGGTCTCCTTTTCTTCATCTACAAAATGAAGGCAATAGCACCCATCTCACAGAATGATTGTGACCTTCAGATGAGGGCTTTATCAACCTCTTCTCCCTATGTAAATGTCATCTATTACTAGAAGGAGGCCCAAGCCACCTTGTTATACCAACATTCTGGTAGCTGGGATCTTCTCTGCTTGATAAGAGAGACTATTGAATTTAGCAAAGATGGCTTTAGCACTTGCTATGTTATTGAATAGGGCTACAAAGCTGGACTGATGTTTGTCAGTGATGTGACTTTCTGCTTCTTCAATGTGCGGGGATGATAGCTATCTTGTTGCTGTGGAAACTGTCAGCCCTGGCATCTCTGTTTATCTGCAGAATGCACAGTGGTTTCTGAAAACAGGTGTGTCCTTGTTGAGAGTAGCTTAGCCGCAGTTTTTTGTTGTTGTTGTTGTTTAAAGTGGCTCTGACTCTGGCAGAGGTTTTATCAACTTTCTAAATGCCTTTCAGTCTCCTTCAGGGGATGTTTATAAAGGTTGCTGAGAAATTCAGCTCATACCTGTTTTCTCACTAGGTTTTCTGAGATGCCAAACTAGATAGAAAATCTGGCCTAAGCACAAACTGGGTCTCTATGACCTTTCTAACACCATCTGTGGCACAAGCATTAATGATTGGTTCATAATTCTACAGGTCTCTGAATCTTCTAGGGCAAATCTCAAAAAGGGAACTGGCTTCAACTTGGCTTGCTTCAATTAACATTTATTAAATAACTGCTAGGTATACATTAAACTCCTCCTTCCCACCCCACTACTCCACATCACCCCATAAATTACTGTGGATTAATAAAGAATACTATATTCAGACTCATGAATTTGTTTTTTTATATATATTTAATACCTGCATTTCAAAATAATTAATATCCCTTTTAATCCAACATAAAGAACCTCTATGTTTATGATCCTACAATCCCAAGTACAGAGGAAATGTCCAGAGTGAGCAGGGCAGAACATTTGAGCAGAAAAGTCATTTAAATCAGCAGGGATTAGAGAACCTTAATGGAAAATGGAACCTCTCAGCTAGACTTTAATTTCTTAATTTAATCCTAAGTTTTCCAGTCTCTGTAACCTTGTGTCTAATGTCTCTCAAGTCTAGAATGCACTTCCTAAAAGAAATGGATGGTAATAGGAAAGGGTAGGATGAGTTGGTATAGACTGGCTTCAGAATAAAGTGCATGAATGCAAGGATCTAAGACATCTCCAAAGGTCTCAAAATGGAAAATGCTATCCACATCCAAAGAAAGAACCATGGAGTTTGAATGCAGATTGAAGCATACTATTTGCTATTTTTTTCTTCTGTTTTGTTTCATTTTCCCTTTTTTTGTGGTTACTCCTACTGGTTCTAATTCTTCCTTACAACATCATTAATGTGACAATATGTTTAATAGGAATATATATGTATCACCTATATCGGATTGCATGCCATCTTGGGGAGTAAGGTAGGGAGAGAGGGGGAGAAAAATTTAAAACTCAAAAGCTTATGGAAGTGATTGCTGATAAATCAAAACAAATTAATAATAAAGAAAGAATAAAGTGCATGAAGAAGAGAAGT